TGAGGTTGGAACGCAGTTTGGGGTGATAGAGATGGAAGAAAAAGAAATCAAAAGGACTGCTTCTGAAATGGTGTGGTTAAGGACCTTAGGCTTTATATCAGTTTTTGGTTTGCATCTGAGTTCTGAAGCTTGCTAGCTTTGTGACTTTAGACTACTTTTCTTTCCCAAGCCATAGTTTCCTTATCTCTGAAAAGGAGCTTCTGTGGTACAGATGTAAGCCAGGTTCCCACTGCAAGGCTGGAAGTCTCTTTGCCACATGCGGGTTTGAATCCCTAGGTCAGCTTGAAAACACATGGGGTGCACTCGAAGAGCTAGCAGGCTAGGTAAGGGAGATCTTGGCATGACAAGACTCTGTTAAGGCCCTTTCCCCCATATTCCCCACATGCACGTATACTTGCTCTCTGTCATAAAAAATAGTTGAGGATGGGGAAGATGAAAATATCTCATCATTGTCATGAGGATGAAATGAACTAATAGTATATGTCATTGCCTAATAAGAAACCATTAGAGTTAAGTTCTAGGAATGGTGGTTATTTTAACAGTTGGGAAACTTAACCATTCACCAAAAAAGCAAACATAATTGCATTCCAACAAGCTTTACATGTATAGGAATTTTTATTTTCTTGTCCATTACTGTTTTTCCCAGTGCTTACAGCAGTGCCTGGCATATAATAGGCACTTCGTTAAATGAATTAGTGACTTGATTTTGAGAATTAGTTTTAGACTTCTAGAGAAATTTGTAGGTTATCTAAATAGAGTTAACCGTTACTTTGCAGTTGATATTTGATCTGGAGTTCAGGAGAAATATCTAGGCTAGAAATAGAAATGTATGGGTCATCAGGATAAGTAGGTGGTAATTGAAGTGATGGAATGAGTTAGAACACTTAGAAAAAGTGTTCAGCAGTGTTAACCTCTTTTAGATTTGGACACTTTCAAGAATTTGATGAATACCATTGATCCTCTCTGCAAAGAAACACACATAAGAAAACAAATTTCCGTCAGATATACAATGTCCATTGAATTTGGCCATCACTTGGAGGACTTTGGTGACTTCAGTGAGATATATTTCAGCCGACTAGTACAGGGGAAGGGAAACAAGGATTCTGGTGACTGCTGAAATATTGAGGAAACAATCAAGGAAGTGCCCCTTTTCATTTGTTTAACAAATATTTCTTGAGTATCTACCGTATCTGTAGGACTGTGCTGGAAGCTGGGGTTCGGCAGGTCAGTGAAGATGGATACTGTCTCCTCCCTGAGCTAACATTTTATGGTGAATTTGCCTGCCCACCTCCCTAACCCCACACACACACACACACACACACACACACACACACACACACACACACAGAGTGAGAAAGAAAGAATGCCCTGAGTTCCTCCTTGGCATATTACTAGGCATATTCAGTCACCAGGGAACTTCAGTTTCTTTTGCTGGGTCAGACCCAGGCTGGGTCAGACCCAATTGTTCTTCTCTCTTGGGCACCAGAGAGCAGATTATCCTCTATAATGCTAGCCTTTAAAGTCAGGAACACACTCCAGAATATCATTGTGCTAGTCCAGTGCTCATGGTGACCATGTTATTCGGTGAGTTTATAAAAGTCATTTTTGTATTTAAGAATTTTTAACTCATACCAACTCTTTCTTGTGGTCATGAATTTTCAGGCCTGTTATTCACAGTATAAAATATTGGTCCTGGGGCTGGCAGATGGTTGGTGGTTAAAGGAGCTGAGTTCCCACTTGGCTGATGATGGTTCTAGTTCTGGACCTGGTGGCTTGCTTTCTTGCTTTCCCTTTCTCTCTCTTGTCTGTCTCTCTCAGGTCAAATTAAAAAATAGTAATAATAACAAATGAAATTAATTACATAATAGATTAATGTAGAAAAGTGCCATGAATCCTGGGCCTGAGGAAACCTTTATCTTAGTCCTGAACTTTTTATGTGTGTGGGGTCTCTCATTTGCCCTTTGATTTAAAAGATCTCTTGGGGTCTTGTCTCTCTCCTTGTGTGGAGGTTATAGTCACACCCAAGTGTCAGGACAGCTGTGACTTTTCTAAAGGTATTGGGGGCAGGTGTCTTCTGCTGGAGGCTTTTTGCAGACTACTAGATTCAGAGAATTGCATGCAGTGATTCTCAGGTTTATTTCTTTTTTGGGGGGAAAGGTTCTTGCTATAGGGCATGTGCGCTCACCAGAGAGACAGAAAACAAGAAATCACCCCCCAGGGGGATGGCCACGCAACAATCCCTTCTCCTCCATTCTCCTCTTGGGATCTTGGGCACGCACGCACACGCACCCAGCGTGAATTTAAGCCACCGGGTCCAGGACTCGAACTGCAGTCAAATACAAGGGAGTCCAGTGACATCGCCGTCACACCAACTGCTGGTCCCATCTTGGGTTTATTTCTTGTATTAGCATGAGAACATAATTATTCCATAGACACTATTTAGATTTTTTTCTGGAAGTATACTGGGTTGCTCTTGCTTCTAATGAAACTCACCAAATCCTTTTCTGCCTATTCACTTCGTCTTAAAATTTTTTTGATGGGCATTTTATCTCCTCACTGGCTTTTCAGCTGCAAATTCAAAGAGCACTGTACGTTCTGACTTCTACATCTTTTCTAAAAGTGTTAAATAAAAACAGGCCTAGTACTGACCTATTCCTTTTCTCATAATGTTTTTTCTAATGTTCGAAGATCCTATTCTTTTATATATTTCTTTACATATGTGGATTATACCAAAAGTATGCAGATATCTTAAAGTACCCAGAATAGTGTCTGATGCATTGAAGATACTTGGTTAATATTTATGATTGTGTCAATTTCTCTAGGATCTTATAAAGATGGTTTTATAGTTCCTGTGTTCTTTTCAGAGTTATTATAATGGTATTAGTTTAAGGGAGAGTATGGTGATGTTGCTATTGGCAGTGTGCCAAACCATTTTCATGAAGATAATGAAAAACTATATATTTTAAGTATGATTTTGAATTTTGATTTAGATATCTAAAAAATAGAAGGCTAAATTTTATAATTAATTTTTGAATTTGTAGTCTATTAAAGATTATAGCATAAATGTAGCATAGCAAAAATATGTTATCTTTTAGAATGGAACCCCATTTTTGATATTAGACTATTAAAAGTTAGAAAAATTTGGGAACCAGCAATTAGCATAATGGCTATGTTGCTGGACTCCCACGTAGTCGGCCACAGTTCGCATCCCGGACCCGGTGGCTTAAAATCCACACCGGGTGAGTGTGCATGCGTGCCCAAGATCCCGAGAGGAGAATGGAGGAGAAGGGATTGTGGCGTGGCCATCCCCCCTGGGGGGTGATTTCTCGCTGTCTGTCACTCTGTCTCTCTCTGTCTGTCTGGCGAGTGCATGCGCCCTATAGTGAAAAACCTCTCAAAAAAAATTAGAAAAATTTAATTTTTGAGACAAAGGATAAAGATCATAAATTTGGGCTGGCCCCATAGCTTCATGGTTAGGGGAGCTGGATGCCACATGGCAGACTGTGTGTCAAATCCTGGCCCCAGCAGCTTGAAAAAACATGCTGGGCACATATGTGTACATGCCCAAAATCCCAGCAGAGAAAGGAGAAATGAAGAAGGAATTGCTGTGTGACCACATTGAGGGGTGCTTTCTCCCGTTCTCTCTGTTTTCTCCATCCCCCCTCCCCCCCTCTCTCTGGCATGTGTCCTCTGGCAATCAAAAAATCATAAACTTAGGATATTCATAAGCTCAAAACATAAATTATATTATTTGACTATTTAGTAATATAAAGTAGGGATATTATGAAATTTATATTCAGAAGTTAAAGACTTCCAAGATCACTAATAAGTGGCAGAATTAGACCAGAACTTCTGAACTGAACTATATCTTTTGATACTTTTTCCATCATACAGTTTTTTTCATTTATTTTTAATTTATTTTTAATTTTTTGAGAGGTTTTTCGCTATAGGGCACGTGCGCTCGCCAGACAGACAGAGAGAGACATAGAGACAGAAAGCAAGAAATCACCCCCCAGTGGGGGATGGCCACACTGCAGTCCCTTCTCCTCCATTCTCCTCTCGTGATCTTGGGCACGCACGCACACGCGCCCGGCGTGAGTTTTAAGCCACCGGGCCCGGGATCCGAACCATGGTCGACTACATGGGAGTCCAGCGACATAGCCATTACGCTAACTGCTGGTTCCCTCTATCATACAGTTTTAATAAGAGAACTTCAAAGAAACTTATACTTGATGAACATTCTCCTAAATCTTCTATATTTACTACATAAGTTAACAGTTAACCATTTATAAGAATGACATAGATGTCCAGTATATATTACCAAAAATAATTTTTTTTTTCCGTAGAGGCTGGGGCACAAAAGGCTCGGGAACAAAAGGGTGAAATCTCAGTTAACCAGGATCTTTTAATGAATCTGGAAGCCTTTAAGCTATCACATTTGTATACACTTTTGTATTCACCTTTACTAAGCATTCATATTTATAGACACCTTTTTTCAGAATCCCTAAGTTTTTTATGGTAGAAAAAATAAGCACTTAAATGACCTCCCTCCTCCTTCAGCCTCCTGCACTCTGTAGGCTGGTGTGGTCTTCCAGGACAAGCAAGTTCTTGCATAGCCCCTGTTCTTGTTCCAGTCAGTGGTCATTCAGCGCTTTCACTTATATCTTTTTATGAAATCCACGGCATCTATAAACTGTACATCAGCGAAAATGATTTTTTAAATAATTTTGTCTCATATTTATTATCAGATATTCGTGGCTGGAATGTCTTTTATTATAAATCAGTATTAACTACAGTAAGCTGCTATGAATGCTTCTAGTGCTATATAATTATTGTCACCATCGCATCCCTAAAATATGCCGGCACATGGCGCCTGCTCCTCCCTCTCCCCCTTCTGTGCCCCCCCCCGCGCGCGCGCACACACACACACACACACACACATCCCACACGCGTGCGCAAAACGCGTACCAAACTGCCATTCTCCAGCAGGCCTGCTTCTGGAGTTGGGAGATGTCAGCCTTCTGGGAGGGGGTGGGGGGAGGAGGAAGAGGTGGGGCTCTGCTCTGATTAATTACCTTAGGCATTCAGGGGTGGGGCTTCCTTCAGCCATCTGCCCGAGATATGGGAGGGAGCTGGAGAAAGAAGGAGGGGGAGAGACTGCCAGAGAGGAAGAGAAAAGAAAGGAAGAAACATTAGAAAGAAAAAGGAAGGAAAACGGTATAAAGGGAGATCAATTACTGGCCCGTAAATAGCTGGATTGGGGGGGAGGGGGGGAAAGAAAGCTGTGGAGGTGTGCCCCAGCACGGCCGCTTTGAAGGGTTTTTCATCTATTCTGTTTGGTTTATGGAGAAAAAGAAAATGGTAACTCAGGTAAGATCTGTGCGTCCTCGGTCTCGTCCCTGGGATCTGAGTAAAGGCTGGGGTGGGGTAGAGTAAGCAGAGTTTTCGTTATTGTCACCTTCTTAGAGAAGACCAGGCTTACTGCTATCAGCTGAAAAGTGTCGATCTTGGCTTTGCTCGGTGTACGTGTGTGTCATGTATCCGTATCCTTTTTTCTCCCCCCCGCCCTCCGCTCCATAGCAGATTCCTGTTTCCTGTGCTGTGCAGCTGTAGCTCAGGAAAGACCCTGTGGGGATTTGTCTACCTCTTTGTCTTGGTTCTGAGAAGAGGGAGGGAGAGAGAAAGACTGCAGAGGTAGGAAGAGATTCTCCTAGACTGCCAAAACCAGGGGAGAGGGGTGGACTTCCTTTTAAGAATTGCAGAATTTGTGTTATATGGAAATCTGATTCCTGATTCACTTTGGTTGCTCTGGGTGGCTGTGGAATTACAGTCTTGCTGTCTTGGCTCTAAAAGGCTTAATAAAAATGAAGGTTAGGAAAGAGTATTTTGTTATTACGGTTTTATTACGAGCACGGGTTTTTGGGGGGTAGGAATCCTAGAAGCATCCAGGTGTAACAGAGGCAGGTGGAGCTCTCCTGACAGAAGCGATCCAAATGTGTAAATGACAATCATACAGGCTTTAGAAGACATTTGAAGGAGAGGGAGTAGGAAATGGATGATCTCCCTCTTCTCACTCTCTCCCCCCTGCCCACAGCTCGCTCTCTTTCTCCTTCCTACCCTCCCTCCTCCTTTCCTACGCTCTCTCTTTTCCTCTGCCTTAGTTGTTGATGCCAGGCAATATCTAATCTGCATTTTAGCAAGTCATTCCTGACAAATGGAAAGGTGGATGCTCTTCCACAGTTCTCCTGGGCAGGGCTGTTTTTCTCGTTGGCACCCTCCTGTATGCTCCTTTTCCCTTTTTTCTTTATATACAGGATGAGAGGGAATGACGAGGCTGAGATTTATTAATGAAATAACTTACATTTTAGGACATTCAGGTCCTTTAGTCTTAGATTTAGGATTGGCTTCACTCCAGGCTTTCATTCTCTGTAGG